ACATTTGAAACACAATAAATTGATCGGAGGACCATTTTTTTAAAATGAGAAAAGATTCTTTTCTACCACAAGAACTCAATCAATACCAGAAATTCTGAGGGAGAAAGAGATATCTCCCTAACACGTGGCAGGGGGTGTATATAGTCCTTTAATGGAGCACTCATAATTCCCATTACAGTTAATGGGAGTTTGGTGTGTGGAGCAAGAAGCACACAGTCTCCCTATCTCTATCAGAAAAGATTCCTTTTGTGTTGATCTCCCAGCTGTGTTTTCATTCTACCTTTTAAAACCATTACACCGAACAGAGTTTGGAGTGCATTATAGGTAACTTTAAGAAGCCATTCATTATCTCCTCTCTCTTAACCACATAATAGAGTGTAGAAAAGTGAGAGCACAGTATCCACACCATGCTGAGGAGAAGGAACTTGCCTTGAATTTTTGAACCTTCAGCCTATTTTCTGTAATGTTCAGTGGTGAATCACTCTTAAGTGCTCCATCATTCACTAGGATATGTGCTTCCTGCCAAAGGTTACCAGATTACAAAAGTATCCTCAGCTCAGAAGGGACACATAATTCACTATCACCTTATTTTGACACTAAGAGAGAAAATATGTGCATCAAGACAAGTAGAGGAAATAACGGGGGAAAAACCATATTAAGTTAACAATGCAGCAAACACTCCAAAGGTAAAAATGCAGGCTAGAACAGTAATAAGGATAATAGAGAAGTAATGCTATTAAATTATGAGGAGAAAATTTTTTTTGGTTAGATCACGAACACTCCCTAAAGTGAGGATAGTTTCCTAAACAGCTTCCTTCGGTATGGGAAGAAATGGGAAAGTTAAGATAGTTCCCAAAGTTGGGAGAACATAGTGATCCTTGTGTTTATAAAAAACGAGGTATTCTCTAAAGATGAAATGATGGTATCCAGAGAAAAATTAAAAGCATAAAAAATGAACATGCAGGGAGTTAATATTCTAAAGACGAGTCCATCTATTCCAGCCCCAATCAATAATTTGCTTGTTGTCATTTATAGTTCTGTCCTTTCTCACATTTTATGCAAATGCACTCACACTATATGAAATCATTTATATCTGTCTTCCAATACACAAAATACACAATTTTTCTCAAGATTTGCTCCTAATATTTCTAGGATCCAAGAAAGAGTGCAAGTGGAAGATCACCAAATATAGAGATATATTTAACAATTAGAAATTGGGTTGACTATGTGATCTGTACTCTTATTCCTCTCATCATTCTTCTATACACAACATTTTCTATCTACTTACTCTGTTTCAATCTCCCATTGTTTACCTGCTGTTCCTTGAACTGATCTAAAACTAGAGTTGCAGTGATAGTACAGTGGCTAGTGGTTTGCCTTGCACACAGCTTACCTGGTTCTATCACCAGGACCACCTCAGAGCCCTGCCAAGAGTGAACCAGAGATCAAAGCCAGGAGTAAGCCATGAGCACTGCTGGGCATTGCCCCCAAACAAAAAACCCCAAAACCAAAAAGACTTCTGCTTCAAGTTTTCCACACTTGCTACTCTCATTCAATCATTCAATTCATTGCCCCCTTCCAATGAATCTTCTCATGCCCTCAAGTGACTGATGGGAAAACACATGAATAGTATATAGGAATTTGTTCTTATTCCAGGCCTTCAAGATCCACATAGGGTGCAGGGAATTGAATCTGGGTCAGCTGAATGCTAGGCAAACACCTTACCCACTGTACTATCACTCCAGCCCCAAGAAACGTACTAAGTGTCAACCTCAAACTCCTGTCTATCTTCAGCTATGTATTATCTGGCAAGGGCCATCAGGTGTACACTTAGGCACCCTACCTGAAAATCCAGATTCCACCCACAGCCCCCCAGAATCTTTTCTTGGCTACCATCTAAGAGTGTAGTCTGCCCTCAGGAGAGAGTACAGGGGGAGCATCCTGCTTAAGGAACTGGAAGCAGGCTTGAAACCCTTTGAGCTGAGAATTTCTGAGTCCCTTACATGGCTTCACTTCAGGAATGTTTTCTAGAATGAAAAATGTTGATTTCAAGTTTCTGGCCTTATCCCTAGTCATGCAGATCCCTTACTGCTGAAGGAAGGTCATAGAATTAATACCAAAGAATTGGGTCTCTTTTGCCTGGGTAAATAGTATGGCTTTCTTTAACTTTGCTTAATTATGTTCAATTCATCCAGTGAAATTTCTTATTTTAGTAATTAATTTCTAAAAGTCTGGAAACTGGAATTCTAGACATCTAGAATGCTAAAAGCTCTAGAGAAAAGTGTTCCTTTTACAAATATGTTTTTTAAAATCATATTTTAGTGCCCTCCCTCTTTTTCTTAACATGTCACATTTATTTTCATGTGTTTGAATTGTTGAGAATTTCAAAATATTAAGTCTTGGTCCGTCTTAATTTGCTATCTGCTCCTTTGGTTAGTTGACTCTTGTTTTGTGGAGCTTTCTTTTTGTGTAAGATTTGTGATTTTTAAGCTTAGGTTGTCTTTTTTCTTTTAAATTTACCTATATGGAATTCTTCAAACCCTGGACTAAGGATGAATTCCTACACAGTGCTCATGTTTGCTTCTTTCAGTCACTCGGGGGCATAACAAACCTGGAACAGCTTTATTTATTCTATTATTTATTTGTTTACTTCTCCCCTTCCCTTAGCTGCTGTTGTTGTGATGACTGGTGGTTGCAGTATTCGCTGGGGACTGCACACTGTTCGCTTCGATGACTCACACACTGGGTTGTGTTGTGTGCAGGTCACAGTCTATTGTGGCACAGGAGGATCCCAAATGCTGGTTCTGCTAGGATCACACTCAGCACGTGTGTGACCCAGATGGAGCCAGAAGGAATTTATGGCCTTATACATGCATGTTATGAAATGGACTTATCCCTGGGTCTTTGAGGCAACTTTTAACTAAACATTCCATTCTTTTTTCTATGAACCACTCAGATGCTAAATATTTCAAGGTAAAACTTCATATGAAGGCCCATTTCTGCCAGCACATCCACTTGTCTCCTATTTCTACTACACACAGTACCAACACTATTGGACAATTTTCAAGAAGATGGGTGAATCTGAAACAACAAGAATATATTGGGAGGGCCAGAGTGATAGGCTAGTGGGAAGGAAGGAAGGAAGGAAGGAAGGAAGGAAGGAAAAGATTTTATTGAGAGATTTCCTTTCATTTATTTTCAGGGTCCCAGGAGAAGATTTGGGCCACATTTTCCTGTTCTTGAAAACAGAGAGATGCATTTTATCTCTTATATATAACACTCTGTGTCGTTCCTGACATAGGGTAGGTATTCAATACAATTTTTTAGAATTAAAAAACAAAAAACTAAGTATTAGAAAAGAAGAAATAAAACAAAATATATTTAAAGTTCTTGGTAATTTCAGATTATAGGAGAAAGTCCTGGAATATGAAGAATTTTTTCCTATTTTGTTTATTTATTTCTATTTTGCATACAAGTAGAACAATGTAAGTAAAAGATGGGATAGAGACTGAAGGGTTTATAAGTTGAGTCCTAAAAGCCGATCTTCAACATGGGCCAGATCCTAGAATATAAGACTTTTTTTGCTTTTTGGGTCACACCCGGCGATGCACAGAGGTTTCCCCTGGCTCTGCACTCAGGAATTACTCCTGGCGGTGCTCTGGGGACCATATGGGATGGGATGCTGGGAACTGAACCCGGGTCGGCCACGTGCAAGGCAAACGCCCTACCTCCTGTGCTATCCCTCCAGTCCCAAGAAAGACATGTTTAATGAGCTCTAATTCTTGCCAAAGTCTGCTTCATTAAAATAAAAATATTTTTAATGTGTATCAAATCATAAAATTCTGGTAATGACATATTTGCCCTATGAAAAATCTAACAACCATGAAAACCATTTTTAATTAGTTTAGATTTCTGTAGCATAAAATGCCGTGAAAGATTTAGGAGAAAATAAAAATGCTACCTGCCATACTGTAACCAAATACTGGGAAGTTATTTTCTATGTCAATGAACATACTCTTCTTTAGACTTTGCCTAAGAAGTTACCTAATTTTTTTCTAAAGCTAGTATATACAATCTGAAAATTCTTTCTATATTTTTTCTAAAGCTAGTATGTACAATCTGAAAATTACCAAATTGTAGTGTAATAATACATAGGTTCAGCGCTGGACCAAAACAAAACCCTCCTTAAAATTTGGGTTTGAGTCACAGATCATTGTGAATACTCACCAAGGGAGGAGAATACATTCAAGATTAAGTGCTAGAGAGGAGGGATCACCAAGTCAATTATGGTTGGAGGGATCACTGGGGATGGGAGAAGTGTGCTGAAAGTAGATAAAGAACCAAACATGATGGCCTCTCAGTATCTGTATTGCAAAGCATAATGCCACAAAGTAGAAAGTAAGAAAGAAATTGTCTGCCATAGAAGCAGGGGGAGGGGTGGGGTAGAGGGATGCAGGAGGGATACTGGAGATATTGGTGGTGGACAATGTACATTGGTGTTCCATCATTGTATGGCTGAAACTCAAACATGAACGCTTTGTAACTGTATCTCACAGTAATTCAATTAAAAAATAAAAGAACAGAGGTCGACCAAAAAAAAAAAAAGATTAAATGCTACAAGTTTCCCTTTTGAAATCTTGAGGGAAAGCCTCTGGGAAACCAAGACTATGAAACACTACAAGTCCCAGCATACCTTGCGCTCAGCATTGACCACAACTCCCAGAATGCAGTGTTCGCAGCTCGCAGTTCCCCTTGGAACTGGGGCTTGTAGTTCTCTCGAGTCACGTCACTCGGTAAGGCCTAGAGGCGGTTGCTTAAACAGCGCGAGGATATTTGGCTTAGTCTTGCCGTTTTGGGGGGAGTCTTTGGGCTCCTAGGCTCATCTCTCGGCTTCTGCATTAAGCAGGTAAATCACGCCAGAACTCCAGTTTCTCCGGGGAGGGTGGACAGGATCCAGCTTGGCTCCAAAAGCGCCGTCGCTCGGGTGAAGTCTTTTGTCCCTAAGCTCTTGCCGTAGCGGCCGCCGCCCATCCCTCTTTGTGTGCTTCGGGAAGCCACTAGTGGCGGCGAGTGTCGGCACTGGGGGGCGAAAGGCGAGGGACGTTCCCGGCAGGTTGCTGGCGGGTGAACTTTTCTCCCATCCCGCCGCCGGACAGGTGGGTTGCCCGCTCTCCCCTGCAGGCCCTGCGCCGCGTCCGCTCTGTCTCTAGCCGGGACTCCAAGGGCGGCGGGGCAGTTCCTGCTGACAGCGCCCCTGGGCCGGGTGCGCGGAAGGAGAGGCAGGTGCGGGGACCCTGGCCGGCCGGGCTGGGGGAGTCGCACTCCCGCACCCCTGCCTCTCGGCCCGCCCAAGGTGCGCCCAGGAGCCTTGGCGGGTGCCCTCTGGAACCCCTCCCCATCCCCCCACCCCCCCGTCCCGCTCCGGGCGCCGCGTCCCGGACCGCACCCTCTTGTCGGGGATCCCAGCGTGATGTGACTTAATTTCGCTTTGCTCCGTTTCATAAATAAAAGTCATCACTGGCCGGGCAGAGAGCGTCAATTCCTCACCCTGGGTGTCTGTAGGGTCGCGTAGGAAAGAGGGGGAGGGTTTCCGAACGCGGAGGTGATTGCCCCACATTCCAGATGGGCACAGTTTCCCGGGGAGTTTGGAGAAAGTGAACATGTCACTTCTGGAAGTTCCGGCCTAGGAGGTTGTTGGGTTCCCGGGCCCGGCTGCGGGGACTGATCCCGCGGGACCTGGTGCTGGGCTCTGGCGATGAGTGTACTTAACTTTCACCGAAGTGTGTTTGATAGGTAATAATGGTAACTTTTGTGTTAACTTGGGCTTACATTCCTGTCGCATGGAGCGTAGAGAATTTAAAGGACTTTTCTCTCTGACCTCCTAGTGCTTGTATCAAATTTCTGAGAATGAATGCAAGATGCTGGTAATAGATTTCTTCCTTGTCATGCACCCTACGAACTGCCAAAGTGCCAGTGAACATCCTCTGTTTAGAGGGTCGCTCTCAGTCTTTTTTCTCCACCAGTGTGCTGGTGTTATCAAAACAAGACAATCAAATTGTTGGGTTAAACGTGAGCATGTGGACATTCAGCAGTTCGCTCTGTGCTAGCTGTTCTGTATGTAACTCACAGTTCATTTTTTTTTTTTAAATCAGTTTGGGGACCACACCCGGCAATACTCAAGGGTTACTCCTGGCAACCATATGGGATGCCGGGCAAGCGTCCAATCTGCTGTACTGTTGCTCCCGCCCCTAAATGAGAGTACATAATTTATTAAGAGCACTTCAGGTCTTGTAACATATCTTCTGGTATTTTAAAAGTAGAGTTTATTTAGTACACCAGATTGGCATGGATGGATGTAATGTAGAAGAAGGCAACCAACCTCCATTAACAAAATAAAAACACAAAGGTTTAACCCTGTACCAACATTTTAGTAATCTCTTACAAAGGGCTTAATGACTCCATGATGAGGTACAAGAATCTTCACTAGCTTTCTTCTAAGGAAACATTTTTTGGTCATTCTGTTAGCAAATTTTTGATAACAAGCATTATGAAGTACATTATTGAGGGCCTGCTATGAGGGCAGGTTTAACGGGTAGTTGGGAAAATTGGAGAGAATGGTGGAAGGAAGGTATAATGGTGGTGGGATTGGTGTTGGAATATTGAACGCCTGTAGCAAAGAAAATTAATTTTTTAGAAAAGTTTATTCTCTATATGTAATTTTGTATTGAGCTACATGGTCTTTACTTTTTTAAGGTTTTTTTTTTTAACAAAAAACAAGGTGTTTTAATTGAGTACATGCTTTTTTTTAAAGGTCACAAACATGTCGGACAAAAGTGAATTAAAGGCAGAGTTGGAACGGAAGAAGCAGCGGTTGGCCCAAATCAGGGAAGAAAAGAAGAGGAAAGAAGAAGAAAGGAAAAAAAAGGAAGTAAGTTGATTCTCTCTCTCTCTCTCTCTCTCTCTCTCTCTCTGTTTTTGGACCACACCCAGTGATGCTCAGGGGTTACTTCTGGCTCTGCGAATTCATTTCTGGCAGTGCTCAGGGCACCTATGGGATGCTGGGAATTGAACCTTGGTTGGCCACATGCAAGACAAGCACCCTATCCGCTGTGCTATTACTCTGGCACCAATTTTATTTTCCTTAAAGTAAACTTACAGGGCTAGGGACACACCTTAATCGGGGCTGGGCGCATGCTTTGCATGCAGAAGCTGTAAGTGTGATTCCCAGTACCACAGAGTCACCCGGCACCATTGGATGTTGTGCCAAAACCAAAAATCCTTGGTGTGGTGCCCAAAGGATAGTACAGTGGCTAGGGTATTTGACCCTGGTTCGATCCACAACATCCCCAGACACCGCCAAGAGTAGTTCCTGAGTGCAGACCCACAAATATCCCCTGAGTATTGCTAGGTGTGACCCCCCCCAAAAAAAAAACAAAAAAAAAATCTTAGTGTAAACTCATTGAATTTTATTTAAAGCTGCTACACCTTTATGTAACACTTTCAAACTAGAGAAAAATACAGTTGTTGAAACTGCAAATATAGCACTGTAAGTGAAATTTATTAAAGAAATTAGGTATGTGAAAATGGCAACTGAGAAACTTTTTGTTGAATAGAGAGTTCATGTAAAAGTAGATTTATTTCACCCTAAAAAGCCAAAAAATTTCACAAAAATTGATTTATTTCTAGGATTTTACTTATAAAAGTTTAGCTTAGTTTTGACTTTGCCATGTGCCTTAATTTTTCTTTTTCTTTTTTATTTTTTTCCGACGATGATGCCAGGAATTGAACACAGGGCCTCACATGTACAAGCAAATGCTCAACCACTGAGCTACATCTCTGGCCCTACTTCAGCTTAGTTTTGATTTATGGAAGTTCAGCTCAGATTTATAAAAATTTAGCTTACTCGAAGAATAAGTTTATTATATAAACTAAGGAATTGTAATAGCTCATTTATAAGACATGGCATAACAGCTTGGATTTTTAACTTACTAGCAAATATATTAACCTGAACTGCATGTAATTTGTCTGAACAGATAATATTACTGGAAAATAGAAATATATAATAGACTTATTAGGGCATGTGTTCTTATCCTTTATTATAGGTTAGTCATATTTTTACTAACTAGTAGGTTTGATACTGCCAGAAAGTTGGATCAGGTATTTCTGTTTTCTGTTGTTTGACATCATCATTTTGTCCTGTTTGAAATCATTTTAGCATGTTTAGCAAATAAGATTGACCCTGAGCTGGAGATATTTTGCTTACTCTCCTATATTGAATTGAGCATGCATGTTTTTACATATTTGTATATATGAAAACTCTTTAGACGTCATATACCTCTCAGATCATTTTTTTGGAGAATGTGGGCCCACCAGCAATTCTTGACCAACTGGGCCAGGGCCAGACAATGAAATGCTGTGAGGACCCTGCAGAACCAGGGATGGTTGATCCACCCCTGTGGTGCCAGAGGCCTTCAGAGATGCACCCACAGATGCTTAGGGGACCCTGTGGTGCCAGGAATCAAACCCAAATTGAGTACATGCTAGGCACGTATCCTAACTGCTGTACTATCTCTTAGCCCTATGGATCTATTTTAAATGGCCCTAAGATGGTTTATTTTAAGATGGTTTGTCCTAAGTGTGACATTAGTACCAAATTTTTCTGTATGAAAGCCATAACAATAATCAATATTTATAAGAGTCTTTTAGAGAAAAAAAATCAGTAGCAGAAAAAGTTTAAATGCTGTTTATTGCAGTATTGCTATGGTGCTGTAGAGGCTGGAATTTAAGATATTTCTAGCTAATCTTATCCTTTCTTTGATTATTGTAAGATGATTGAAAGTTTAAGTTGCTCTTTGATTAAAAAAATAACTATAGGGCCAGGAAGATAAGCTCAGGCTGGAGTACATGCTTTGCATGTGGGAGGCCCAGGTTTTGTCCCCAGGCACTGCATGATTTTCTGAGCATGGCAGGAAGTGATCCCCAAGCAAGGAGCTGGGAATAAATCTCAAGCACTGAGTCATGTGTATGTTTGGCCCAAAAAACAAAAAAATAACTGTAAAAGCATGATTCAGGTTGGCAGAACTATTCCACAGTAGAATCTATAGCCTTGAATTTTTCTATGGTGAGAGCTTATTTGATGATTGTTTTCGTGTTTGTGTGTGTGTGTGTGTGTGTGTGTGTGTGTGTCTGTCTGTCTGTCTGTCTGTGTGAGTTACTTGGGATCAAACCCAAGGCTTCACACATGCATGGGCAAGTGCTCCCCTGCTGAGCATGCCTTGGCCCCATAGTTTATTTTAACTATGACGTTAAGTGGCATAGTGGCTTCTAATAATATAAAGTGTCAGCTTTGTAGTAAAGTCTTTTGGCTATTTTGATGGAATTTTCTGATAATTTCTTTAAGTTAAATGGTATAAAATATTACTATCAAAATTTACTGTAAGAATGAGACTGAAGTGAGAGTACAGTAAATAGGGCGCCTGCCTTGTGTGCATCTGATCCAAGTTCGATCCCCAGTGCTGAATATGGTCCCCTCAGCCCCGTCAGGAGTGGTCCTAAGTACAGAGCCAGGAGTAAGCCCTAAGCACTGCTGGGATGCTCAAAACAAAATAACACAAAACAAAAATTACTGCAGGGGCTGGGAGACATTACCTACCTTGAATGTGTTATTCTTAGCACTACAAAAAAAATACATATATATATATAAAATCACGTAGATTATATATATATATAATATATGATTATATATATATAAAATCACGTAATTGTATGAGTAGTTATCTATTCAAAATAGGCTTCTAAAGGATATCCCTTGAAGACCTATATTTCACTTGAGATGTTTTGATGATCTGAGACCATCGAAACTTAGCTGGAAGATTTTGCTAAAACTCCGCATGACTAAAAAAAATTTTGGGAAAAAAAAATGTTGTTTTGTTGTGGTTTGCAAAAGAGGCATTGAGTGGCAATCATGTTTGGAAAATGGGCACTGGTGGAGGGATGGGTGTTTGATCATTGTATAATTGAAACCCAAGCACAAAAATTTGTAAATCTACAACTGTACCTCATGGTGTTTCACTAATAAAAATTTTTTTAAAAAGTAATAAAATATCTGAAAAAAATAAATAAAAACAAAGGAAATTTTAAAAAAATGTTGTTTTGTGATGCAGAAGCAAACTTCAGTTGTACTAAACCCGATTATGTTATTATGATGAGAATAAGATCTGAAGTTAAAAAAGTTAAATGACGGCCTCCTGATAAATTTTTGATAAAAGTTCTTGATAAAAGGTTGCATAAATAGAAGTTTGGGGTTCTCGTACTTTTTTGTTTTCTTGGTTTTTTTGTTGTTGTTGTTGCTTTTTTTTGGTGGGGGTTATCACACACAGTGATGCTCAGGGGTTACTCCTGGCTCTGCACACAGGAATCACTCTAGCAGTGCTTGGGGGGCCATATGGGATGCCGGGGATTGAACTCAGGTCAGCCGCTTACAAAGCAAACACCCTATCTGCTGTACTGTCGCTCCAGCCCCACTTGTACTTTTTTCAATAAATCAAACTGTCCTTTTGCTTAAAATTGTTACCTCTTAAATAATTCTCCCCTTTTTTTGTAGCATATTTGTAGCCAGGCTCTGTGCCACTAGGGATCAAGACTTTTATAGTTACCAATAAACAGCAATACTGCAGAAAATTAGAAGTTGACTATACTTTTTAATTTAACTATTGTGAATATTTCTGATTGTCTTTTTGTTTTCTTTGTTGGTTTTTTTTATTTTGGACCACACCTGGTGGTGCTTGGTGTCTACTCCAGTCATGGTCCAGTCATGGTGCTGGGGATTGAACCTGGGCCTTCTATGTGTGAGGCATGTGCTGTAGCTCTTTGAGCTCTCTTTAAGGAAAAATCATATGGAATCTCTTGGTTACTTATAAAAATGGATCTATTTTAGTATGCACACTTGGAGATTTCTTTTTTATTTTTTGGTATTTGGGCAATGCCCACGGATGCTCAGAACTTACTTCTGGCTCTGCACTCAGGGATTACTCCTGGCAGTGCTTGGGGGACTGTATGGGATGCCGGGGATTGAACCTAGATTGGCCGCCTGTAAACCAAATGCCCTACCTGCTGTATTATCACTCCAGCCCCTCACTGGAGGATTTTTTTTTCTTTTTGGGTCACACCCAGCGATGCTCAGGGGTCATTCCTGGCTCTGCACTCAGGAATCACTCCTGGCAGTGCTTGGGGGACCATATGGGATGCCGAGGATTGAACCCAGGTCGGCCGCGTGCAAGGCAAACGCCCTACCCGCTGTGCTATCGCTCCAGCACCTCAATTGAGGATTTTTTAATAGAACTCTGTTGAGAATGATTTTCACTTAATAATTTTAAATCTGCATTCGAAACTACAAATAAACAAGTACTTTGATTTAAATAGTTTTTTTTTTACAGAGTTGTTTCATACTACATGTAAACAAGTTTCTAACTTAAAACATTTAGACTGACCAGAAAAAAGAAGCAACGGCTCCTGTGCAAGAAGAATCAGATCTTGAGAAAAAAAGAAGAGAAGCTGAAGCCTTGCTTCAGAGCATGGGGCTGACTCCAGAATCCCCCATTGGTAAGGATAAGAATACATTCATTTATAAGAGCTAAGCATAAATTCTGTTCAGCTCAGAAGTACCTGAGATAAGTGAGTTGACAGTATATTTTATGTATTTTTTTCCTATTTGTGTTGCCTTAAAATGTTTACTATAATATTTTGAAATCCCCTTTTTCATTTATGTTAATACATAGTTCATTTGTTTGGAAGAGCTGCAAGATTAATTATATTTATTAGCATGTACTGAATCACCAGTTGACTTTCCTTGTAAAGACCATAATTTATTTCAACATTTGTTTGAACAAGTTTTCTGACCCATACCATTGTAAGGCCAAAGATGTCTGTGACTCCTGATCTTAATGCTCTGTTCCTTTTTATAAGGTAGAGCGTTTGAATTAATCCAAGTTTAAAGGCATATTAACAGAGAGCAATAGGGACAGAGGGGTAGAAGATGGTATAGGTGTGAGGACAAAGCTTATATTGCCTTTTGCTTTCAATGCTAATATGGGAGATAGTATTAGTAGCTTATTTGGGTAGGGTTTTGACTTAAGCTTGTCTTTTTTCCCTTTATTCATTTTGATTCCAATATTGACTAAAGCACTTAAAATAGTAGAGGTCCTAAGGATAATTTCTTCCAAATTTTTTAAGATGGTACTGTTAATAATAGTATTGTCTGTTGACATGCCTTTGCACCTTAGGGATCCAAAATTTCAGGGTTGATTTGTGGATTATTTCCATCTACTTTAGGGACAGGTACCAGAGATATTAGCTGCATTGTTTCTGTTGTGAAACCACAACATAACTATCCTTAAAGCTGCTATTTCCTAAATGTTTCAGTATAAAAAAGCTGATTACTCTCATGGTCTTCACTCTTTCAGCTCATTTGCCCTTTTCATGTTTTCAGAATTTGAATATAAAAATATATTTTATGTTTTTAATAAGTGTATCTTGTATTTTGCAATATTTGGGGGGATGGTTTTAGAGCCACTTACAGCTGTATGCAGGGCTTACTCCTGGTTCTGTGCACAGGGATCACTCTTAACAGGGTTCAGGAACCATATGGGGTGTCAGGGATGGAACCCGGGTCAGCTGTGTAGAAGGCAAGTGCCTTACTCACTATGCTATTACTCCAGTCCCAACATATTATGATTTTAAAAGAAGCCAAAATACTATCTTCAACCAAGCTTATTATCATATCTATTTTTCTGAAATACTTTATTTTTTCTATAGACTTTATTCTTTTAAATTTATTTTTATTGAGATAATATTTGTTTACAAGACTATATGTCCACCACCAAATTCCCAATATTTCTTCTCTACAATACATACAACCCTTGTCTCTTTCTTCCTTCCAATTTCTTTCCTTCCTTTTTTCCTTCCTTCTCTTTCTTCCTTTCTTTTTCTTTCCTTCCTTTTTTCCTTCCCTCCCTCCCTCCCTCCCTCCCTCCCTCCCTTCCTTCCTTCCTTCCTTCCCTTCCCTTCCCTTCCCTTCCCTTCCCTTCCCTTCCCTTCCCTTCCCTTCCTCCCTCCCTCCCTCCCTCCTCCTTCCCTCTTTCCCTCTCTCTCTTTCTTTTTTTTTTTAAGAGGTGGGTTTGGATCACATCCGGTAGTACTGAAGTAGTGATCAGGAGGCCATATATAGTGCCAGGTCAGGTATCGAACCAGGATTGACCAGGTATAAGACAAGCATCATAACCTCTGTGCTCTCTCTCTAACCCCTTCCAGCCTTTCAACCCATTCACTCTAATACTTTGGTAACCTTAGTTCTGCAATGAGAGTAAAAGGATTTATTTTATGTTCCCTTCTTTCTTTTTTTTCCTCTATCAACACTTTCCCCCATGATACCAAATATATTTAAAACATCAGTATTAATCATTGTGTTTAAAATGCAGTTTTCAAATATTTCAGATATTAAGATATTAATTAATATCAAATATTTCAGATATCAAGATATTAGTATTAAAGCAGTTGTGAAATCTGAGCCATTCATAGCAAGATAAAAAAGAGGAGGAGGCAGGGGGAAACCATATCAACAGAAGTACTCTTTTCTTTTGCTTTTGGGAGCCACACCTGGCAGTGCTTAGGGGTTATTTCCAGCTCAGAGCTTGGGGTCTGTTCCTGTGGTGCTCAGGATGCCATGCATTCAACCCAGGCCTCCCACATGCTAAAGCAGCTCCTTGACCCAATGTTGAGTACTTTTTGTTTTTTTAAAACAACAGTACCAATATTGTTTTAATCCTGCATTGCTCTTACACAGTGCCCACCGCTAAAGTGCCAAGATCTGCCATTGTCTTTGACTGTTCCCTTGCTTTGATTCTTTATACCCCATTTCTGAGTGAGATCATTTGGTATTTGCTTTCTCCTTTTAACTTAGTGTGATCCTCTCTAGTTTTATCCATATTGTTGCAAATGGCTATCTTTCATCTTTATTTTTTATAGCTCCATAATAACAGTCCATTGTATCTGTATACCACAATTTCTTTATCCACTCATTTGTTCTTTCACTTGGGTTATTTTCATTTCTTGGTGATTGTAAATAGAGCTGTAATGAAAATTGGAGATGCACATGTCTTTTGAGATGCCCGTTTCTCTGTTCTTATGTTAGATGCCAAGGAGAGTAATTGCTGGATCACAAGGTAGCATGGTAGATCTAGTTTAAATTTTATCCATTTTCTTTTTAGTAAGGTCTACTCCCAACAGCCCTGCTCAGTTCATGTTGAGTGAGGAGGGTTTTGAATGAGGAGAGCTGACCATTTGGTGCTGGAAATCCAATCAAATAGTAGTAACTATTTCACCCTGCCCCAGTATCAGTTGGTATTATCCAGCTTTAAATTTTTGCCAAGTTGATGGGTGTAAGGTGGTTTGCCAAAATGTCCTAATACACATTTGTCTCATTATATTAAGATTGACCTTTGCGTCATGTATCAACTGTTCAGATTGTTCTGTGGTTGCATAGTCCTTACCCATTTACTGTTTGGATTCTTTATCTTGCTAATTGGTAAAAAGGTAAAGGTAAAGGCCCTCCCGTTGATCGTCGATTTGCTCGAGCGGGCCCAGTAACGTCTCCATTGGAGACTTGGTTGTTACTGTGTCTGGCATATCGAATACTCTCGGTAGCTTGCCGGGCTCTCCGAGAGGGGCAGAGGAATCGAACTCGGGTCGGCCATGTTGGCCGCTTGTAAGGCGAACGCCCTACCCGCTGTGCTATCGCTCCAGCCCTGCTAATTGGTAGGAGTTGGGATATTTTGTTTGCTTGTTTTTTGGACCACACCTGGTGGTGCTTGGGGCTTACCCTCGACTCCGTGCTCAAGGGTCTCTTCTTGCGAACCCAGGGATCATATGTGGTACCAGGGATTGATCCTAATTTGACTGTCTGTGAGGCAAGTGCCCAACCTATTTATCTTGCCCCTGGATCTCTTTTTTGGTGACACTTTTTTGTTTTAGTCCTTTTGAAAATACCTCTTCCAGGCTGAAGCGATAGCACAGCAGGTAGGGCATTTGCCTTTCCCTCAGTCGACCAGGGTTCGATTCCCAGCATCCCTGAGTGCAGAGCCAGGAGTAAGCCCTGATCATAGCTGGGTGTGACCCAAAAAGCAAAAAAAAAAAAACCCTCTTCCATCCTATTACTTTGTATCCTCCAAAAAAACAAAAGCCTTTAATTTTATATATTCAAATCCTTCTTTTTGATATGGTCAGATCATACCATTTTAGGTTCCTTTTCAGTCTTTCCAAAGAAATCCTCTTTGAGGATACAAATATAGAAAGACTTTTGAGGTTACTAATATGTTGGTACATTTTATGTTGGACTTTATAGTTTTAGATTTCACTTTCAAATACATGTTTTTTCCTTATGGAGATAATATAATATTAGCCACATCCAGCATTACATAAGAGATCCAATCCCACGCCTAGTAATTCTCCGCCTGGTGGTATAGGCCTGAAGGTTCTGAAGGTTTGGTGCACAGGTCTGGTGGTGCCGGGTGGGGGATGTGACATGCGTTGTCAGGGATTGGGCTCAAGACCTTGCAAATGCTCAGCAAGTGCTCCATGACTTGAGCTGTCTCTCTGGCCTCTTTTGTTTTTTTTATTAGTGAAACACCATGAGGTACAGTTGTAGATTGCAATTTTTTGTGCTTGGGTTTCGATTATACAATGATCAAATACACATCCCCCCACCAGTGCCCATTTTCCACCACCATGGATAATATCCCTCCCATCCCACCCTGCCTCTGTGGCAGGGCAATCCCCTGTGTTCTCTCTCTCCTTTTGGGTGTTGTGGTCTGCAAAAGAGGCTTTGAGTGGCAAACATGTTCAGTCCATAGTCCACTTTCGACATGCATCTCCCCTCCTGGGAGGATCCTCCAAACACCCTTTATTTGGTACTCCCTTCTCTATCTGAGCTGCCCTTTCCCCTAGAATGCCCGGTTGGCCTCTAAGCTATGGAGTAATCCTCCTGGTGCTGATCTCAGCTATTCTTGGGTATTAATCTCATATTTTGTTACTTTATATCCCCCAGATGAATGCAATTTTTCTATGCCTATCCCTCTCTTTCTGACTCATTTCGCTTAGCATGATACTTTCCATGTTGTACCACTTGTATATAAATTTCATGACTTCATCTTTTCTAACAGCCACATAGTACTCCATTATATATAGCTCTGACCTCTTATTGTTCATTGATTTGCTCGAGTGGGCCCAGTAACATCTCCATTGTGAGACATGTTACTGTGTTTGGCATATTGAATACGCCACGGGGAGCTTGCTAGGCTCTGCTGTGCTGGCAGGATACTCTCAGTAGCTTGTCGGGTTCTCTGAGAGGGGCAGAGGAATCAAACCTGGGTCAGGCTGGCCGGCCGTGTGCAAGGCAAACACTCTACTGCGGTACTTTCGCTCCAGGCCAGGTTTTTGTATGTAGGACTATAATATAAGGTAAGCATCCAGCTTTATTTTCAAACCTGGCTCTGCCAGGCCGGCTGCATGCAAGGCAAATGCCATATATACATATAAATGTACAGATA